CTTTAGCCTGCTCCTTGCGCTTCGAGGCCCCCCAGCCCTTGCCTTGCTCCCCCCCTCGCCCGAGCCGCCCGCCGAGGAGCTCGAGCTGGAGGCTGGGGGCATCAAGCTGAAGTCGGAGGCCGCCGCCAGCCAATCGCGCTCTCGCGCCGCGTGCCCCCGCCCTCCCACGGCGTGGAGCCCCCCCCCGCTCTCGGGGGGACGCCGACTGTGCACTCGGTGCACAGCCTGCCCTCGCGGGGCCCTCCAGACTCCAGACGGTGCGGTGGCTGCACTTTGCGGCGAGGCAGTGGGGACTCGGGGTCGCCGCACGGTTTTGTGGGCCTCGGGGGCCGTTCTCTGAGGACGTCTCGGGCGACTGGGGCCTCCAGGGTCCCGGATCGGTGCGGTGACGGACCGTGCGGTGAGGTCTTTGGGGATGCCGAGGTCACCACTTCCGCACGGTCCGTCACCGCAGCGTTCTTGGACCCTGGAGGCCCCAGGCACCCGCGACGTCCTCGGAGGACGACCCAAGGCCCTTAACCGTGCGGTGACCCCGAATCCCCACTGACTCACCACTCGGTGTGGTCACCGCACCGTTTGGTTCGGTAGCAAATCATGGGAGCCTTGTACGTCCTCGAAGTTCAGCCCTTGGAGTGCATTCGCGTGCGCTAGCGTCGGTTAATCGAGCGCCGACCTTCCGTCGATTAGCGTCGATTCAGCGTCGACTATCATCGACGAGCGTGGATTGGCTTCGGTTGGCGTCGATTCGCTGGATCCAGCACGAAGGTATGGGCGGCTCCCGTTAGTTGCCACCGAAGCGGCGAGGTGGTCAGCTCCTTCCGTTCCCGGGATGCGCGGTGGCGGCCAAGAGGGCAGTGATGGCTGGGGCGGATCTCGTGGCCCGGGCCGGGATGGCTCCCGGATCCTCGTATTGTTTCAGTGCGTCCCTTGGCCGCTCCCTTGGCCGCGCGCGTGCTCCGGGCCATGATTTGCGACCCCCCCCTGCTTGGGCGCCCCAGAGAAGCCCGCTGAGGCTGGCTGGCTCTTCGACTGCGGGGTCCGCGTGCGCCATCCTTGGGCGATCATCTAGCCTCTGACCTCGTGAATGGCGAGCCGTCCCCGACAGAATGATCTGCCGAACCCTGCGCCCGCGTCTATCCAGCCGCGCTGCCGTGCGCGCATCCGCCACCGTCGATGTGAGGGAGGCCTCGGGGTCCAGGGGGGGCTGATGGGGTGGGATGGAGGTTCGCACACGCAATTTCGCTTCGTGCCTTATTTTCTTCGAAGGTGGAAGCAACGAGGACGTGGAGCAAAGCATCTCCATATCTTGGGCTCCACGCGGCTGGATGTTGGAATCTGTGTATTTCGCAAGGGGCCAGCCAATCATCTAGTCAGGGACCCAACAAACAGCAGCCGTTGCACATCATGGTGCCAGTATTCACAGGTCTTCACAGTTTTCAGGACCTTGTGGAATCGTTTCCATCGAGTCGGAGTCCTCTCGATGTTTTCGAGAACCCTGCAGACAAGAATATTCAGCGCCAAGCCCGCCATCCTCACCGCCGGATTCCTCATCACTGGATCCCGCTCCTTGGTAAATGCGGTTCGAGCAACTTTGGCTCGAGCCTTCCAGAGGGCTCGAACGAAAGGCTGCCTGCGTGACGAGCGATGGTCACGAGTGGCGAACATATCCGTATCCGCGCCCCTGCGGTTTTGATTCCTGGGCGTGATCCTGCGGACACGCGGTCGCACCGATACGCTCCGCGTGGGGTATCCGCGAACAGACGCCCCGTATCCGCGGGGTCGCGGTCCAGGGGTCCGTCCGGCCCATGAGGCCGCGGATACGGATGTGCTTTTCGCCTGGGAGATATGCAGGGGGAGTTCCCCTCGCCGCCTCTCTCGCGACCCTCCATCCGAAGGGCTGCGCCCATCGCCTCCAGGCCATGTCGGGGTTATCTCGTGGCCTCGGCGATTTGTTTCGGCATCGTGGGGCTTTTTGTTAAGGTCGTTGTGGGTTCGCCTTGGGCGAGCGCGGGGGCTCTGAGGGACGTCTTGAAGCGATCTTGGGACATCGTGGGAGCAAGACATGGGACAGGCAACCGACACCGGACACGATGTTTTCGTTTTACATTTTTTCAGCCTTCTCGGAGACATCTTGGGTCTCTCCTCGGCCATCTGGGAGGTATCTTGTGGGCTTCTTCGGCCGTCTTGGTATCTTGATGCTCTCTTGGAGGCCTCTTGCGGCCGCCCTGGAGTTCTCTTGGGCCCACCTGGCCGTCAGGTGGCGTCCCTATTGCGATGCTGTGCTTGTTGGTTTGGCCTGCCAGGTGGTCTGATCTTCCTCACCAGCCTCGCGCATCGGCGATTTACAGAGCCTATTCTTACGCCGTGGCTGCAGCGAAAGTTCCCGACGGGTCAGGGCATTTCGATGCGGTGGCTGCGTTCCCATTTCGATGACATGCTATTAGCTGCAGTCTAGCTTGAATGTGGGCCCTGTGGTCTGCGGCAGCCTTGGCGAACAACTCTCCCCGATCGCTGGTGGTTTTGATCCACATCCGCACGTTCGAAGGGACTTTGAACAGAGGAGGAAGACAGGTGAGCCGAGTGGCAAGAGAAGGTGAACACATGAATCGGATACAAGCTCCCGTGATATCCCAGTCCTCTCTCTCTTGCTCGTGCCCTTCCCAGCGCGACTTTCCTGTTTCTCTCACGGTCTCACTCGCGTGGAAGCCCTCGCGGAGGTCTGCTACAACGATCTCCTCCACTCGTCGGTGAAGCTGCTTCCGAAGCACATTCGCGAGAAGAGGGAGCGAGAGTCGAGGAAAAGGCCCACCCCCTCCCGCGCGCAGCAGTCCACGAGCGCACGCTCCAGCAGCGGGCAACGGAGCGAGTGGCAGCCAGAGGGTGGGGCGCGGGGGGTGGGGAGCCAGAGCGCGGAGGGCGGGGAGGGAGCGAGGGGAGGGCGAGGGAAAGGGACGGGGGGGGGGAAGGTACGGCCATGGTTCCTTTTCTCCTCCCTCTGCGCTCCCGTCACCTGCCCTCTTGCGCGTCCCCCTCGTCGGCCATCGAACTCTTTCTTGGCTCTCGTTTCTGTCCTCCTCATCTCGATGAGCGCTCGATGACGCCTGACTTGAGCGGTGGGATGCGGGCCGAGCGATCCCCTTCCTGGCCCTGTCTCGCCTCCACTCCCTGCCTAGACCCCCCCCTCCTCCCAGGAGAGGAGCGGGGAGGAGCAGTGGGAAGGACGAGGGGGGAAGCACGGGCGGCGGCGAGGAGCAGGAGGAGGGAGCAGACCGAGGAGCTCGGGGCGTGGGGGTACGTCGGACGTCGTCGGCGGCGTGGGCCTCCTCCTGGCTCTCTGGCCTCCTGGGGGGTGGGGTGAGCAGAGGGGGGGGGAGAGGGCGAGGGGAGGCGAGGCCGCGGGGAGGCGGAGGGGTGAACACGGGGGAGGACAGAGAGGGGAGAATGGCCTCTCCCCCCCCACTCTGCCCTCCCCCTTCCCGCTCCCCGTCCTCCCCCCATACCTTCCCCTTCTCCTCATCCCCCCGCTGCCTCTCCCACCTCGACTCCTCCCTCCCTCCCTCCATCTCCTCCTTTGCCTCGCCCCCTCCCATTCGCCTCCTACCTTTCTTTTCTCTGCGGGCCTCCGAGGCAGAAGGAGAGGAACAGGCCGATCGTCGTCGGCACGCAGAAATTCATCAATGTAGCAGCGCTGAGAGGCCCCCGCGCCACTGTTGCTTAACTCTCCCTTTCCTTCCCTCCTTGTCCCACCCCTCTCTCTCTCTCTGTTGGTTGGTTTGTGTGTGTAGTGTGTGTGTGTGTGTGTGTTGTCTCGTTTGTTGTTTGTTGTTGTTGAACATTATTACTTCTAAAGAATAATTATTGTTGGGACCCCTGGTGCACGGCCCCCTCGCCGCGCCTAGGCCGCAGCCATGTTTTCATCATTTTCGTGAGGAAGTCTCCGGCAAAACGGGTTGTCCGGATCCGGTTGTTTTGTTCCCCCCGCTTTCCCTTGCAAAAAACAATATAAAATGACATTTCTTGTTCTAACATAACCACATTTCAAGAATTCCTTGCAAGAAAAAAAATAAGGTAAAGTGGACATTCGCGCGCGCAAGACGAAATCCTTCCAAAACCTTAGTGTTCGTAGCGATTTTAACATAAAAACATCAAAACACCAATGGTTTTTTCAAACAAAAAGTGTCAAAATTCATCCCGCGCGCTCTTGCGGATTTGTAGGAAACCCAACACTTTTTAAACATTTCTGTCAAACGGGCTTTTGCGAGCAACTTTTTCACGTGCTTCGAACTTCTCCAACAACGGTTGCGCACCTGCCAGGGCCATCATCCCTGTCAAATAATACCATGCGGGACACATTCGTTTTTTCTTCGCGCGCGCACGCCGAAATCTTCAAAAACCATTGGGTTTCTTAGGAATTTTAGCACCGCGCAACATAAAATCATACGAATCGCGTCCAAAAAATGTTACCACAACAATCACTGTACCCATGCGCCAGTGTAGTAGCCACGGTCGTCCGCAGGCCACGAAGTGAAGTGTCCGAACGTCATAGGGCGGGAAGCTGGGTGTGGGTGGTGGCGAAGAGTCGTTTGGAAATGTGGTAGAGCTTGAACCGGCCCCCCCACAAAGTGGGGGTATTGGCGGGCGTCGTATGAAAACCCTGGCACTGGTGAGAACGGAGTGTCCCCACGTGCTAGTAATTGTTGTTGTTGTTGTTGTTGTTGTTGTTGTTGTTGTGGTTGTTGTTGTTCTTGTTGTTGGTGCTATTGTTGTTGTTGTTGCTGTTGTTGTGGTTGTTGTTGTTTTGTTGTTGTTGTGGTTGTTGTGATTGTGGTTGTTGTTGTGGTTGTGGTTGTGGTTGTGGTTGTGGTAGTTGGTGTTATGGTTGTTGTTGTTGTTGTTGCTGCTGTTGTGTTTGCGGTTGTTGTGGTGGTGGTGGTTGTTGTTGTTGTTGTTGTGGTGGTTGTGGTTGTGGTTGTGGTTGTGGTTGTGGCTGTGTTTGTTGTTATTGCTGCAGCTGTTGTAGTTGTGCTTTTGTTTCATAAATATGTATATTCGTGGTTGATTGTTGCTGTTGGTTTGAATCTTGTTTGCTTGCTTGCTCGCTCTCTTGCTGGCTTGTTTGTTTGTTTATTTGTTTTTGTCTGTGTGATGGTTTGTGGCTTCGTTTTTTAGTATTAAGAATGTTTAGTTTTTTTTGCCTTCTCTCTCTATATATTCACACCCCTCTCTCAGTTTTTAGTTCTCTCTCTCTCTCTTTCTCTTTCTCTTCCGTTCTTATTTATCATTTTTTTTTCTCTCTCTCTCTCTCTCTCTTTTTTCTATCTCCTCTCTCTATGTATGTTCTTCTTTCTTGTTCGCACTGCATGCATCCTCTTTCGCCTCTCCTCCTCTTTCTCCTTTCTTCTTTCTCCCCCTACCTCCTCCCTCCCTCCCGTTCTTCCTATTTCCTCCGTTCCCTGACCCCCTCCTCCTCCCCATTCTGCCTTTCCTCCCCTCTCTACGGTGTTTGCTTGTTCGTCTGCGTACTTCATAAATGTCTGATATTGGGTTGGCAGCTTATCCATGCAACCTGGCTCTTGCGTTCATTGGAGATTTGCACCTCTGCCGCTGGTCCTGCCGCTGGCCCGAGTGTGTTGTAGAGAGAGTTCTGCGTGACCTTGGAGCCCCCTCAGGGCCGATTAGAAGCTTTTGCGAGTGCCTCTGGTGCCTTGTAGGCAGTCCCGGACGCCTCCTGACAGTCCTGCCAGCCCAATGGGTCCTTGAATTCGCTTCGTTTTTTTTGGACGACGTCCAAGGGCTCCGCGATCGGTTCCGGATGCCCGGGCGCTTCTTTTCTGGCCCTGAATTCGCCCGAGTGTGTCGGACGACGTCTGGGGATTCCGTTTTTGAGCCTTCCTAGGTCCCTCTAGGGCCGTCCTGGAGGCCCAGGGAGTCGGCCGAAAAGGCCAGCCACATCGGAGAACGGTTTGGTGGTTTGAACATTGGTCTTGCCTTCTCGCCAATGTGGGCTGAATAGGGCCCAAGAGTGCACAACAGTTGTTCGGGCGGAGCTGGGACCGGGATACTCGTTCCAGAGCGTTCCAGGACGCTCTGAGGTCGCTCTGAAGCGCTCTGGAATGGCCGCGGCGCCCGATGCATCCTCCAGAACCGCTCGACGAGGTCGGATCTCGTCCGCGGTCGGTCCCGGATGCCCTCGGCCGCCCCCTCTGGCTCCTGGCTTCCCCGCAGTGGTGGACGGCGTCCGTGGGTTCGGTGTTCGGCACGGGACCCGCGGGCGACCTGGCGGCCAGCTTCTGGGCTGGTGGGGGATCAGTGTGGCCGTCCTCGAGGCCCCTGGGGCTGGCCGACGAGGCCGAAACCGTTGGAAGCTCTCTCGCTGTGTTCACCCAGGCTCTCCAGGGGTCTGCCGGCCGTGCAACCGCCGCATTTCTCGTGGGCTCCCGAGAGGCCCAGCAGGAGTGGGTGCATACGCGCACCCAGACGAGACCTCGCGACTCCCTGGGGGGCTGCCACCTCCTCGCATTCTCTCGCATTCCTATTTTCGAGAGTGGCCAAGAAGGCCACAACGCCCCCCCCCCCAACTCGCCCCAAGACGGGTCCCCAGGCATTTTGGCTGAAGCCGCTTTAGTTGAAGTCAGCGGTCTGGGAAGAACCATTCTCGACTCGTGTTTGTAGTCTGCATCCCTTGCAATGTCTATCACCTTCAAGAACATCAAGATTGATCCGGATGAAGGGCAGCTCGAGAGTGACATGTTCGACAAGACCGACCCGTATATCAGGTTCTACGTTGATACTGAAGGGTGGGGCGGGGAGAAAGCGTGCACCTCGAAGAAGGAAAATGATCGGCAGCCAGACTGGGGCGACGAGGAAGTCACGCTTGACAATCTTGGTGACACGCCACTGTCTCTCGAGATGAAGATCGACGTTTATGATGATGATCTGTTTGAGGACGATGCCATTGGTTCAGCAATAGTCGACCTCGGCACCCTTATGCAGGGATCTGGATCAATCAGGGTGAAAGTCGACAACAACATCTTCGCGAAGGACGTGTACGTCATGATGGATTACGAAACCAGCGGTTGGGGCAACATACCGGATGCCCAGTCGATCACCTTCAAGAACATCAAGATTGACCCGGATGAAGGGCAGCTCGAGAGTGACATGTTCGACAAGACTGACCCGTATATCAGGTTCTACGTTGATACTGAAGGGTGGGGCGGGGAGAAAGCGTGCACCTCGAAGAAGGAAAATGATCGGCAGCCAGACTGGGGCGAGGAGGAAGTCACGCTTAACAATCTTGGTGATACTCCAGCCTCTCTCGTAATGAAGATCGACGTTTATGATGATGATCTGTTTGAGGACGATGCCATTGGCTCAGCCATAGTCGACCTCGGCACACTCAGGCAGGGATCCGGAATCATCAGGGTGAAGGTCGACAACAACATCTTCGCGAAGGACGTGTACGTCATGATGGACTACGAAACTGGTGGTTGGGGGAACTGATCCAAATCCATCATTTCGATTGCTCGTCAGATGGACGTCGGTCACGGCATGTGCAGGCGTCTCGTGCTACAGTTTGCGATGCGGATATGCCACAGTTGAGCGCTTTTCGTCCAGTTGCATGCTGCTTTGTGCTTGTCCGTGGACCCGGGCATGATTGCATGCTGATTTCGTTCGAGGGGTCCACATGGGCTGATCCGGAGCCGCTTCGGGCTACAATTTAATCGCTTCGCTGATTCCGCCGGCCCATATTGCCTCACCCCTTGGGGCCTCTCGGGGGCCTCTTGGGGCCTCCTGGGGGCCTTGTGGCTGAAGGCTGGACTTCTCGGTTCCTGGTCCCCGTCTGGGGTCCCTCTTGGGGCCGTTTTGGGGCCCTCTGGGGCCATCTTGGGCGCCTCTTCGGATGTCTCGGGGCCATCTTGGGCACTCTTGGGGCCTTTTAGGAGGTTTCTTGGGCCGTCTTGGGGCAGCCTTGGGGGCCTCTTGGGCCGTCTTGGAGCGTTGGAAAGCCGAAACGGTGAGAAGGCCAAAATCTTTCAAAAACCATAGTCAAATTGACGATTTTGGCCTCTCGGGGCCCTCTTGGGGCTCTCTTGGGAGGCCTCTTGGTGGCCTCTTCGGGGGTCTTGTACGCGTCGTGGGCCGTCTGGAAGCCATCGTCGGTGTCTCGGGCCCTCTGGAGACCATCTTGAGCGTCTCGGAACGATCTTTCGGCGACTCGGGGACTCTTGGGCCGTGTAGGGGGCGTCCTGGTGCCATCATGGCGCGCCCTTGGAGCCCCCTGGGGGAGTCAGCCGGGCATCGCCCGGGCATCGCCCAGGCATCGCCCGGGGTTCGTCCAGGGGTCCCCAGGGGCCGCCACGCGCGCGCGAACTAGAAATACTGTGAATCTATTACCGAAGATCTTAGCACGCCTTTGGCCCGTTGGGCCGGCGATTTTTTTAGGTAGGTGAGGCTCTCCCCTGAGCGTTGTCTCTGTGAGGATGTGTAGGGCGTGTCCGGCAGTCCGCTTGCTGACTTTGGGCGAATAGCTTGCGCCCGAATTGGCCGTCGTCCAGCGACAGGGTCTCGCGGGCCGCCGGGCTCTGAATCATCTACAGAAGCATAGGTATCTCTTTTAGGAGATGAAGCAGGCGGCAAAGAGTGAACGCGACAGCAACAACGAAGAAGGGTACCGAGCTCCCAAGAGGGGCACACGGCGCCTCCAAGAGGAGGCCAAAAGCGGCCCAAAGGAAAGGCTTCCAGACTGGTCCAGGGGCCCTCCCCACCAAAACGGCCGTTCAGACCATCAGCAAGTCTCCAAGACGCCCCCGAGGTCTTCAAGGAGCTTCCCATGGGCCCCCAAGACGCCCCGAAGTCACCCTCAAGAGATCTTCGAAACGGCCCCCGTGAAGCCCCCAAGAAGCCGCCCAATAGGCCCCCAAACATCCCTCCGAGAGACCGCAACGGGCGCCCAATAGGTCTCCCAGAGCCGCCCAAAGCGGAGCCCAAGAGGGCCCTAACATCCCGGGGGGCGTCTGGGAAGCCCCAACGCCGCCTTGGATCAAAATCAACGACGCGCGGCTTCGGGGAACCTCATAACCAATGTTCCTGGAAGCCTCCTTGGAAACATCCATAACGACATCCATAACGACATAACGTCCTTCGACTTGAGAAGAGGACGGTAAGGATAATGAGTGACGAAGGCATGAGGTAATTAGAGCAAGAGGATGAGCAGAATGTGGCAGGAGGAGAAGGAGTTATGAAGGCAATGATGCAATGGACAGGAAGAGGAACAAGGGTGACGAAAACATGGGACACTCATGGGATGGCGAGGAGTTTACAGAGATGGCTCGAACCAGTACTAAGCAAGCGTGAGTAGGCGCCATCTCTAAGACACTTCTCGGGACTGAGACAAGTCTCGTTACGAGCTTATTTGGCAAGAAAAAGCCCAAGCGCGCGCGTAGTGCGCACGTGGCGCGCGTTTGGTTCTAGGGTGTGTGTGTGTGTGTGTGTGTTTGTTTGTTTGTTTGTTCGTTCGTTCGTTTTTTTTTTTTTTTTTTTTTGTGTGTGTGTTTGTAGGCACGTTGGCCATGCTCGCGCCTTTCCACCCATGTGCGCCGCCGCGTCTTGTGACTGCTTCTCGCGGTCGCCCGCGTTCAGCCTTGTTTTGGTTGTCCAAGGCTAAGCCAGCCTCCGTTGCGTGATCATCTTTTTCACGCCGACCTCATGCACCCTGATGCACGTTCGCGCAGTCTGTTACTTGCTCGCTGCAAGGTTGGTGGCGTTGCTTTGGCGCGCAGTTTCCCTGCGTGTATGCCCCACGACCTAGTTGGCTGGTCTTGCAGCCTTCGAGTTCTCTTTCGTTGCCTCCTTGAGGCTTTCGTGTGCACCAGACTGCTGCTTGCGCATCAAATTTCCCGCGTCGAGCCTACGTTCCTCGGTTTTTTTGGCCGCTGCACTTTGGCATTGCAGCGCCTCTCGTCCTCTCACCACCCATCTGCATGGCCGTGACTGGATTCTTTCATCATGGCGCGTTCGATTAAGTTCGTTCGCAAGTATCACCTCCACCTGCTGGCCGCGCCTGAGGTCCCTCGGCGCCGCCGACTCAAAAGTGTGTGTATATGTGTATGTAGACACACGCCACGCCAGATGAAAGCAGAGTTGCGAACTAGTATATGTCATTCATTGACATATGCGGCCGTGTGATCGTAAAGCCATGCACGCCGCGCTGTATTCTGGCATGATCATCGGCTGCGCCCAGCAGTTCGCGCGGCCCTGTGAGAGTCTTGTAAGGTGCAGGCATCTTCGCCAGGGGTCCACCAGTCCCCCCTTCCCCCTTGTATCCCACTGCGGAGGATAGGGGGGAGGATAGGGTGCGGGAGTTCTCATAAAAAAGGGTGTCCTGACTTAGTCGCGCGGGGCCTGCCGCCGCACTGTGCAATCCCTTCTCCCACTCACAAAAGCACAGCATTGGGCTTGCTGGCAGCACGACGTGAAGCTCGATCAAGGCCGTCACTGTCATGCTCGCCGTGGTCTGCCCGCAGGCTTCGAATCTCAACCGTGCAGGTGCCTGACTACGCACAAAATTCGGGCAAGGAGCACTGCATTCCTTTCCTTGGGCTCGCCGGCGGCGCGCCGAGGGCGGGGTGAGAGGGGGCAGGCTTTCTCAGAAGGCCGCGGGGCCTCGGAGAAAACTTGGAAGTCTTCTCAGAAGGCCGGATGCCTTCTGCCCTTTCTGAGGAGGCCCGCCCCCGTCTGCCGCTCCCCCCTCCTCCTCCTCCTCCTCCTCCTTCTCCTCCTCCTCCTCCTCCTCCTCCTCCTCCTCCTCCTCCTCCTCCTCCTCCTCCTCCTCCTCCTCCCACGCCGCGGGGCCTGGATTTCGGGTCATAACTCGGGCCCCTGTCGGCCGGTCGGGGCGACCTGGGCACACCCGGAAAGCTCTCGACGAGGCGTAGCTACCGGACAGCACCCTGGGGCGAGGACATCTCTAAGGACAAACGATAATCCCCGACAGTTTTCGAAACTTCGCCCCTTGGCGCGCCACCAACTTGGGCTCGGCGAGACCGAAGGGGCTCGAGAGACAGTCTTATGCACCGCCTCCCTGCCGTCGCCGCTGCACCTGCTGCGGCCTCTTGCCGCTGGCCACCCCCGCTGGCCGAGTCGGAGCGGCGGCGGCCAGGGAGGAGGACGTGGAGGATGAGGAGGAAAAGGAGGAGGATGAGGAGGAGGAGGAGGAGGAAGAGTAGGAGGAGGAGGAGCAGGAGGAGGAGGACGAGGAGGAGGAGGAGGAGGAAGAAGAGGAGGAAAAAGGGGAGGAGGAGGAGGAGGAGGAAAAGGAGGAGGAGGAGAAGGAGAAGGACGAGAGAGAGGATGAGGACAGGGAGGGTGACCGAGGAGAAGGAGGAGGAGGGGGAGGAGGAGGAGGAGGAGGAAAACCAGTGTGAACCCAAGAATCATCAACGATGTTGGAATTAACCCTCCCTCCAAGCTCCCTCTTCATAGGCCCGTACAAAGGTTCATTTCCATTGAGGGAACTGCCTCGTTTGAAAACAAGCGTTAAAAGATCCTAAAGCATGCCAAAACATTGTTCCCAGGATTTCAACGCCGCGGATCAACGTGACTGCTGCGTCTTGACGATCCGGAATCGTACAAGAACGTTATTCTTGGCACGTCAACACTGCGAATCAACATAACCGTTGCGTCCGCATAATCATGTATCGTTCCAAAACACGTTCTGGTCCGTTGATCATGGGAATCCGTGAAGCTCTTGCAAATTTGTAAAACGACTGTGCGCGGCGCTGAGGTGAGAGCCACATTTTGAAAAGGAGCCGCCCTCAATCCGTGAAGCGCTAGCGAATATTCAAAACGAGTGTATCCGGCGCTAAGGCGCGAACCACATTTTGAAAAGGAACCGTCCTCAATCATTGAAATTCTTGTATTTTTTGTTAAAAAACGAATGTGCGCGGCGCTAGGTCGAGAGCCACATTTTGAAAACCACCCGCCCTCCATCCGTGAAGCTCTTGCAAATTGAAAAACGAATGTGTGCGGCGCTAAGGCGAGAGACACATTTTGAATACCACCCGCCTTCCATCTGTGAAACTCTTGCCCCCTTTCAAACTGAAGATTCAAGAGTGGTGAGGAGTCTCAGGCGAAACGCCCAGCCCGCCCGAAAAACTGGCCTCGGGGTGCGACAGGGAGAAGTTCTGTATCAGGAAAATGAATGGAGGAGGGGGAGGAGGAGGAGGAGGAGGAGGAGGAGGAAGAGGAGGAGGAGGAGGACGGATGAGGAGTATGAGGAGGAGGAGGAGGATGAAAAGGAGGAGGAGGAGGAGGAGGAGGAGGACGGATGATGATGATGATGATGATGATGATGATGATGATGATGATGATGATGATGATGATGATGATGATGATGATGATGATGATGATGATGATGATGATGATGATGATGATGATGATGATGATGATGATGATGATGATGATGATGATGATGATGATGATGATGATGATGATGATGATGA